TGTCCCAAGTAGCTTACATATCAAACAACGGATCCTGCAATTCGATTGTCCATGCAAGTTTCGGCCAAATCCTCGCTTCCCATGATACAAATGTGTTGGGTACGTCACAGGGGATTTTTGTTTTTAGCACTCTCGGCTTCCAGGGGCCATCATCAGAATTCGGGACCGTTGCGAAATCTCCCAAGATGAAAACTTGGTCCCCGGACAGGGGTCCAGACATGTGGGGGTCCACGTCATGGAAAAAACAGAGCGTCGGGGGTCTGGAATTTGGCCAGTGTATCTCAGCCTCACCAGGTGACCCGCCCATGCGGGGGTAGGCCCCACGAAGCCAGACGGAAACAGACAGATCATGTATGCCCACTTTGCGGAGTAAATCGGCCAGTGGGGCCAAGGCTCATGCCAGTGGGGGAAGGGACCGGTGAAACGATGCTCAGAGGCTTCGAGAAGGAGGCGAACCTCACGGAATTCATCGGCAGGCCGGTCCGGGGCCGCGGCCGCTTCATCTCGAGGAATTTGGCATGGTATAAACAACAAATTTCGGAGTTGCGCGCGGTTTTTCTTGTATCGGCGCTGGGCCCCCCTCCCTGGCGCGCTGGGCACGCCAGGGGTCTGGACGCCCGAAATGGGTACGGAAAGCATGGGTACAATGCCCAACAGCAGTTCCTGTTCATTTTGGACAGGACTCGCTGTCCGCGCCGCCGCGGCCCGTGTCCATTCGAGACAGAAGGCCGCCTGCCCAACAGCGGCCGCTGTTGGTTTGGGACAATGTTTGTTGTTGGGCATTGTACACCCATTTTTCCCGTAGAGTCTCAGGAAAAGATGGGAAAATATGGGAAGTGGGGGGGAAGACACCCAGAAAATATAGGAAAATCAGGGGAACCATTTTATTTGTGTGTATTTCTTTGTGTGTCCTGGGGCCCCTTCAAGAAACAGAGAACTTCGGAGCTCCGCGCGGTTTTTCTTTTGTATCGGCGCCGTGCCCCCCTCTCCCTGGCGCCTCGCTGGGCACCGCCAGGGGGGCGGCGCCGGTCCAGGAAAAGTCAGGGCGGAGCGTTTAGAACGTCTACGTTGAAGTCGGGCCTGTCCTTTCGGCAGGGGGAACATTCAAACATAGTTTTAGAACATACAGTGAAAACGTAAAGTAAGGACGCGTGGTAAGGACGCAAGACCCTTGGAGGCCGAAGTTGAAGTAGTCTGGGCGGCAGGCGGCCAAACCCCCAGGAAACCTGAGAAACTGGCCTGCGAACATTGCTAGGGACGGGCCGCAGAGGCTGAGGCAGGCAAGCACCCAAGGGTACCCTTGGAAAAGTCGTTTGTCCTTACTATGCGCGTTGACTGTAGTCTGGGGGCGATTGCTTTCGAGTCTGTTTCGACTGTTTGGGGGCATGTGTCTGGCACTTTCCATGTTTTCGCCCCAAAGTCCGCCCGTGGGGGGAGGCGCCCGCCCCAAGAAGTCCCTGTTTGTGCCGTTGCCTTGGTTCCTCGGCCCGTCTGCCTGGACGAGGGCTCCCACACGGCGCGCCGGCACGGGGACATGGACGGCATGAAGGCGATGCTGACGCAGGTCATGAGGGAAGCCTGGGGCGGGGGCTGTTTTTTTGGGCAACGAGAGGGATGGCTGGGCAGAGGCCGGAGGAGGAGGAGGAGGAGGGGGGAGGAGGGGGAGGAGGAGGAGGGAGGAGGAGGGGCGGAGGGGGAGGAGGAGGAAGGGAGGAGGAGGAGTGAGGAGGAGGAGGGAGGAGGGGGAGGAGGAGGAGGGGGAGGCGGAGGAGGAGGTAGGGGGAGGAGGAGGAGGAGGAGGGGGCGGGGAGAGGAGGAGTGAGGGGTGTCAGCGGCGAGAAGGGGCGGCATACGAAAATAGGGGGGCCACATGCGAACCCTACGCCTACCCCCTACGATTTCTGAGGGGGAGGGTGGGGTTCACTCCGTTCGGGAGCTCCCGAGCGAAGTGAACCCCACCCGCCCCTCAGAACTCGTGAGGGGTAGGGGCAGGGTTCGCATGTGGCCCCCTAGAAGAGGATGGCTAGGCTTAGGATGTTCCAACCTGGGTCAGCCTGGATCACCAGAAAGACCTTCGGGCACCAAGGACGAGAACCGAACCTCGAGTGTTTTCACGTGGCAGGCCCTGGGAGACACTCGTTCGACACTGGTTCGACACTTTTCTGGGTGCTCGGAATTATGTTTGGGATGTGGTCCTCAAGTACGATGGGGCCAGGCTCAAGTCGGGCATGTCCTTCTACATGGGGGACCTTCACAAGCAGCAGGAAACAGATCATCGGGGGAGGCTTTCTCGAATACATGTCTCGACCCTGTTTTTGAAGATATGCTTTGGACTGCTCCTCGTTCGCCTTCCCGGGCCCGCCTGCAGGAGGACGTACCCGGCCGAGGGCCAGGCTCCAGGGGGTGGGTGGGGGGGACGCACCTCGACCCCCCTCCTCCCTCCTCGCCGCGAGCAGGGGGGAGTCGAACGGCTCCCTCACCCCTCCTCGCCGCGCAGAGGGGGGGGGCCGGACGCCCCCCCCCCCCAGCAGCAGCCTAGCGGCGCGCGGCCCACACGGGGCGGGGGGGGGAGGCATGCATAGTTGACCCCCTTTCCCCCCCCTCGCCGTGAGGGGGGGTGGCGGCGGGGGAGGGAAAGGAGGAGGAGGAAGCAGGAGGAGGAGAGGATGGAGGAGGAGGGAGGAGGAGGAGGGAGGAAGGAGGAGAGGAGGAGGAGGGAGGAGGAGGAGGAGGAGGGGAGCAGGAGGGGAAGGAGGAGGAGGAGGAGGAGCAGGAGGCGAGGGAGGGCGGAGGCGGGGGAGGAGGAGGAGGAGGAGGGGAGGATGGAGGAGAGGGGAGGAGCCAGGAGAAGGGGGCGACGCCCCCCCCCCCCCCCCCCCCCAAGCAGCAGCAGCGCCGGGCGCGCGCCAGTCGGGCCCTGCGCCCCTCGGGGGGCCTGCCCCTCGCCGCTCCGTCGCGGGGAGCATCGGCGGCCCCGCCCGCGCCCCGATGCTCTGTAGGCCTCCGAAACTGCCGACCTCCGCCGATTCGACTCTTCCCGATGCGGCTGCCGATGTCCGCCTCTCCGATGATTTGTAGGCCTCCTAACTGGCCGACGTCCGCCGATTCGACTTCTCCCAACACGGCTGCCGATGTCCGCCTCTCCGCCCGCGCCCCGATGCTCTATAGGTATAGGCCTCCTGCACGGCCGACCTCCGCCGATTCGACACGTCCCGGCACGGCTGCCGATGTCCGCCTCCCCGCGATTGGTTCGGACGGCCGGCTCGGCTTGTCGCTTCGATCCCTGGGCTCTCCTGCCCTGGCGTCACCAAGGACTTCTAGCCAGGCCAGGCACCTCACTGGCCAGGCCCGGGGGCGCGCGCGGGGCGGGCCCTGCGCCCCTCGGGGGCCTCTCGCCGCTCCGTCGCGGGAGCATCGGCGATGCCGCCGCGATGCTCTCAGGCTTCAGTCGCGCCTGTCCCTCTGCAGGAGGAGTCTTCCAAAACAGTCACGACAGATAGCCAGGGGGCGACTTTCAACAGTACGTTTGATTGCTGTCGGTGTGTATGTTTGGGAGTATGTTTCGTTGCTCGTCCAAAATCCGCCGGTAGGGGGACATGCCCGAATTAACTCTATGTAAGCCTCCTAGCTGGGATCGGAGTAGATGTGGTCGGAGGATCGCGCCGCATCGCGGATGCATTGGCGGTGCATCGGCGATGCGGTTCGATGTGGGGCCCGATTTTCTCCACGCCGACGTCGCCGATGCGTCGCCGACGCCGCCAGCGCATCGCCGAGGCATCGCCGATGCATCGCCGATGTATCTGCGATGCGGCGCGATCCTCCGACCCCATATAGTCCGACCCCATCTAGGAGGCCTCTAGATGCTTACCCCCCTTCCCCGCGAGCTGATCTCTGCAGCGAGCGAGGGGGGGGAAGTGAGGGGGAGAAGGCCTCCTCGGAGGGCGGCGGGGCTTCTCAGAAGCCCTCGCGCCTCCCGAGAAGTGATTTCGATGCCTTCGGGGACGGCTGCGAAAACTCCTTAGAAACCCGGGGACTTCCAAGTCTTCTGAGGAGGCCTTCTCCTTCTCACTTCCCCCCCTCGCTCGCCGCAGATGAATACCTGGTGGTTTGGGGTTCACAGCTCGGGCGGCCTCCATCGGCCGCTCGGGACGATCCAGGGCCCTACACAACGCGCTCGACGAGGCGCAGCAGCTGGAAGGCATCCCGAGGCTGGAAGACCGCCGATATCCGACGAGAGCGTCCGAGCTTCGAACCTCGAACCTCTAGGGCGATGATCCCCCCCCCTGACCCGGTTCCTGGTTGCCACGGACGGCCCCCCGGCGAGGGTTCAGATGCTGGAAGTCATCCCGGCATCCCGAAATTGGACTGCCGCCATGAACAAACGAAAGCGTCCGCAGACCTTCAACTCCGAAACCTCGACAGCCTTGAATTTCGAAACTTCGAATCGCCGATCCTAGGTCGACTTCCCCCCCCTGCGCAGGACGCCATCGAGGAAACGAAGGAGAGGGAAGAGGAAGGGCAAGCGAGGAGGAGGGGGAAGAGGGGCGGGCACGGTGGAGGACCTAGAACGAGAGGGAGGAGCAGGAGGAAGAACGTGGGGACCACGGCGAGGAGGGGAGGTTGGAAAGGGCGAGAGGGTGGAGGAGGAGGAGGAGAAGGAGGAGGAGAACGAGGACGAGCGAAACTCGCGGCAGAGGCGGAACAACAAAGAAGGTAGGAAAGAGGAGGAGGCAGGAGGAGGAGGAGGAGGAGGAGGAGGAGGAGGAGGAGGAGGAGGAGGAGGCAAAGCATGTGGACCACGGCGAGGAAGAGAGGATGGAGGAGGAATGGAAGGCGGAGGAGAAGGAGGAGGAGGAGGGGAAGGAGGAGGAGGAGGAGGAGGTGGAGGAGGAGGAGGAGGCGGAGGAGGAGGAGGCGGAGGAGGAGGAGGAGCGAGCGAGCGAGCGAGCGAGCGAGCAAGGAGGGCCCCCGCGCTGCTGCCCGCCCCCTCGAGGAAGGGCAGCATCCGCTGGGCGGCGGACGGCCTCTCCGACCTCCGCTTCGGGCTCGTCCCGGGCGGCCGCCGGCCGGCCGCCTCCGAGCAGGGGAGAGCCTCTCGACTGCCGACGCCAAGTCGCTTCGACTTCGGGTTCCCATTCGATGCCAATTCGACTCCCATTCGATGCCAAATCGCTCCGACCTCGGACTCCAAGTCGACTCGAGATCGATGCCAACGCGGGTTCCAAGTCGATGCCGATTCGATGCCGATTGGGATTCGCCTTCGGATGCCAATTCGATTCGACTTCGGACTCCAAGTCGATGCGACTTCGATGCCAACGCGGATTCCAACTCGATGCCGACTCGATGCCGATTCGGATTCGATTTCGGATGCCAATTCGATTCGACTTCGGACTCAAAGTCGACTCGACTTCGATGCCGACGCGGATTCCAACTCGATGCCGATCCGATGCCGATTCGGGTTCGACTGCAGATTCCAATTCGGTTCGGCTTCGGATTCGATTCCGATTCGATTCGATTCCGGTTCGGGTCATCATTCCAACTCCTCTGATCCGATTCGGCTCAATTCGGATTGAAGTCGGGCCTGTCCCTCCACGGGAGAAATCCTCGATCATAGTAAGACAATAACTTTAGGACCATTTTTAGAGCATGTTTCAAGTATTTGGGGACATGCTGTGGGTATTTCGAATCTGTTGCCCAAAATCCCCCTGTAGGGGGACATGCCTGGCATAATTTTAGATGGATTCCGATTCCACTTCGATTCGACTTCGGATCCCGATGTGGGCTCCGATGTATCCATGGATGCCTCATACAAGCCTGCCGGTTTCCGCCGCTGCGACTTTTCCCGACCCAGCTGCCGATGTACGCCGCTCCGATGCAGTTCGATCGCTGATCCGACTTGTCGAATCGATTCTGGGCTCTCCTGCCCGAGTTGGGGATGACAGCTGATTTATCCCGAAACTGATTTTTCCTTATGGGTTCACGAAAATTCGAGGAGGAAAAGGGACCCATACCGCTAGCCTTCGCCCGTCTCTCCTTTTTTCGGCCTCCTGGGCCTCCCTCGTCGCCACCGCTGGATCCGCCCCGAAATCCTGGTCAGAACGCACTCGGGGAGAGGTCCGGGGAGTGGCGTATCGGTGCGCGTTTTGGTCTCCCTAGAAAAAACATATTTCTGCAGTGAAAATCAATTTGGGGGTACATCGATTCTTTAGTCGATCCTCTACTCGAAACACCCGACCCTTTGGCCAGTGGCCGACCTTGGAAGGCGGGGTCCAAGCCACAGGAAACACCTAGAGCGTCGGAGCGCTGTCTCTCTGGGTCTCCTGAGAGGCCCTCGTCGCAACTGCTGGACGCGCATTTGCTTTCTGGTCAAGCCGCGCCTCGGGAGCGGCCCGGGGAGGGGCGGTGGCGGTATCCCCAGATCTCGACTACACGTAAGCGAGACCTTTCGCTGGAGTGACCTTTGGTACGCGCTCACTGGGGTCCCCCGATCGCCCCCGAAAAAGCCGCGCACCAAGGGTCACTCTTACACAGGGTCACTCTTACGTGCAGCCGAAGTTCTCCGACGAGGCGACTTTTTTTGTTTGTTGCGACCCGGGAGGCATTCCTCGCGTGCTGCCTCCAGGGCCCGCCATCGGGGTCCGGCGCCGCCGGGTGTCTGCGCCCCCCTGGGATGGAGGAGGAGGAGGAGGAGGAGGAGGAGGAGATGAGGAGGAGGATGAAGAGAAGGAGGAGAGGGGGAGGAGGGTAGGGCGAGGTAGGAAGCAGAGGAGACAGGAGGAGGAGGAGGAATGCTGGGGACAGGCGTCGCGATGCATGAGCGAGACTTCAGAGGAGCGAGGAGAGCGTCTGCGACGATGATCGTAGGAGGATAGGAGAGTGCGGAAGGAGAGAGGGATATTAGGATAGAAGTTAGGAGCGGGAGCTCGATTGTGCGGCTGGGGGGAGTTGGGGGGGTAGGGGGGTGGCTGGAGGCGTGAGCAAGAGGCTGTATGGTATGTAAGGTGCGAAACCTCTGGATGCTTCGGCGGGCTTAGTGTACTGGTATGATGAGCCAGCGCAAGGGAACTGTCCGAGGTCGATCTGCGCCCCCCTTGGCCGATCTGGAGGGCCTGCCAGCCGGTCCGGCCGAAGGAAGGATCCTTCTCGCAGGGAGGGCCTCAGTGCTCCTGCATTGCATTATACACAGCTTGTCTCCTCCTCCTCCTCCTCCTCCTCCTCCCCTCCTCCCCCCCTCTCTCCTCCCTACTCTTCCTTCTCGTCCCGCTCACCTCCCTCGTCCCGCGCCTCCCCCCCTCCTCCTCCTCCTCCCCTCCTCCTCCAACCCTCCCCTCCCTGCTCCACCTCCTCCTCCTCCCCCTTCCTCCTTCCTCCTTCTCGTCCCCTCCTCCTCCCTCCTCCTCCTCCACCTCCTCCTCCTCCCCCTCCTCCTCCTCCTCCTCCTCCTCCTCCTCCTCCTCCTGGCCCCGCAGAGTGCACGCCAGAAGCTGGTCGACCTCATCAACATGTGCGAGCGGACGGGCACTTGGCCGAGGCAGTGGACGGCTACACTCGGGGCTGTGGTCCCTAATCCAGCAGGTGGTGAGAGAGTGCTGGGGATGCTACCCCTACCAGTCAAACTTTGGAGCAGGACGAGGGCGTCACCTTGCAGCGAATGGAGCGAGGCGCTGAGCGCGCACTGGGACACGGCCCTCAAAGGCAGCTCGGCGTTGCGAGCGGGACTGCTCCGTGCCTGCCTGGACGAGGCGGGATACGAGCTGGGCATCTCCAGCCTCACCCTGCTGGAGGACATCGAGAAGTTCTACGACAGCGTCAGCCTGGTGCTGCTGATGCGCATCGCTAGGGGCATCGGCTATCCAGCAGTGGTAGTGGAAATGGAAGTACTCATCTTCGCGGCGGCTCGCTTTCTCAAAGACAAGTCGTCGCTGAGTGAGGCAATATGGGTATCCAGATCGATAGTTGCGGGGTCACCCAGAGGTGTCAGCCTCGCGAAGGTTTTCCTCCACCGAATCCTACAGCGAGCGCATATCATATCACCGACGGCTGGACTCTGGACATTCGTCGATGACACTGTGGCTCGAGAGGAGGGCACGGCACTGGAGACCCCAGACAAGATGGTCAGAGTGGCCTGCGAGCTCGCCCAAGGACTTCGTCAACAGAGGTTCAAGATCTCGGACAAGACAGTCGTCATCGACTCGAGCAGAGACATGGTCAAGAGCGTGGCGGAGAGGTTGCAGCAGAACGGTACCCCCGCCAAGGCCAAAACTTACACGAAGGACCTAGGCCTCGACGCTTCTGCTGGGCGTAAACGAGTTGTTCGCACACTCAAGAGACGAATACTGGCAGCTAAGAGACGGTTCGCCAAGATCAAGAGGCTGAGGAAAAGCACTACCCTGGCAACAGAAGCGAAAGGACTCTGGTCTACGGGCGCCCTGCCCCAGGCCACATACGGATATCAAGCGTTCGGCCTTTCCATGACGGGGCTGACGAAGCTAAGAAGACAGGCGGGCCAGATCGCAGCAGGCTCTCAAGGAGGCAAATGTCTGACGACAACACTTGCAATTGAGATGTGGGACAAGGCGCCAGGTCTGGAATTGCGCAAACGAGTTGTTCACGAGTGGCTGGCGATGTGGCAGATGAATCCTCCGATCCACGCGAGAGTCAAGTTAGCCTGGACCAAGATCAGACAGCGATTGATCACGGCTGGACGGAGGAGGTGGGCCTATGTCAGAGGCCCGATCGCCACGCTGCAGGCCACGCTGATGGACATAGGCTGGTACCCCATCAAGGCGACAGAGTGGGACAGACCACTACCAGATGGACAGTTGCAGGCTTGGCTTATCCCCAGCGGCACTGACACGGAGTACACGAACGATTGGGAGGGACTCGCCATCTTGGCAGACGTGGTCAGCGACATGCGCAATTTGTACTGGCAGCAGGCGTCGAAGCACGAGGATGGAGCTGACCTGCTCCCAGGTGCGGATGTATGGAGAATCAGAGCAGAGCAGCGCAAGTTCCACAATGAAGGAGCTTCAGATTTGGCGGCACTCTTCCTGATAGTCACCACAGGTGGGCAATGGACCCGAGTGAGGCGCGCCAGACAAGGATACCTTATTGATTCCAAGTTTTGCCCGCGCTGCCAGCTCAAAGAAGAGAGTTTGTATCACCGCATTTGGGAATGTGAGCAGAACAAGGGGCACGAGGATTTCGTGAAGTCGGAGGCGCTTGTGGTACAGGCGGCGGCGCAGCACGAGGCGTCGCCTGCTCTTTGGCTTCGGGGAGTACCAGCCGTTGGGCTCACCACTCCTGAGTTCGATGAAGCGCCCCTCGGCCAGCTGCAGTTGGATTTTAAGTCACACGGCTTCGTCGAATGCACGGAGTCAGGCAGAGTTCACGTTTTCGGTGACGGCTCGGGGGGCAAATATTCTGACGACCCCAGACGGAGACGCTGCGGAGCAGCGATCGTGGGGCTCGTGTTTGATTCGGGAGGCGGGTGGACCTTGGGGGAGGCTCTCGGGGTTCCTCTGCTCGGAGAAAAGCAAACGGTCCCCCGAGCCGAAGTTTTAGCATTCTGCCTGGCGTTAGAGCAAGTAGATTCAGAGCTGGGTTTCACATTTGTGACAGATCACAAGACGATCTCCAGGACCTGGAGGGCCCGCTTTCGAAGGCCCAACCCTGTGGGTGCCAACGAAGACCTCTGGACCAGGGCCCGCATTGCCTTCCAGGCCAGGAGGAATCGTGATGTGGAAGTTGTTTGGTCCCCCTCCCACCAAGAGGAGGCCCCAGAGAAGTTAGACACGCTCGAGAAACTCTTTTATGCTTCTGGCAACGCCTGTGCTGATTCGTGGGCGGGGGAGGCGGCGGAGTTGGCGTGGAGGGGGCTGTTGGGGCGGGAGCCTGAGACGGACAAAATTGATGCCACAGCTTCGTTGATTCGTCGAAGGGCCAGACGTGCCCTGGCGTGTGCAGCGGAGGCCGAGGAAAACACTCGGGCGGAGAGACCCCCTTTGAAGAAGGAGTCGAGACCGTCCAAGTTGGTGGCTGCGGCACACGCCTCGGACCACATCCTCGAGCCATGTGGTCGCAGCATGAAATACTGGTGGTGCACGGTCTGTGAGAGAGTTGTTCCCCGCTACCAAACGCGGGTCTTTGCGGCCGCGACATGTTCAGGGCCTCCTGCCGAAGTCAGGAGAGGCTCCCAGGCCGCTGTTGGAGAGAGGGTCGCCCCCTCAGCCCGAGGGAGCGGCTTCCTGGAAAAGGTTCACCCCTCTCACAGGCTCCAGTATGTGGAGAAATGGTTCCTTCACATTTGTTCGGAGTGCGGTTCTTATTGCACCGTGGACCCCAGGAATTTAGTTGGCAGATGCGACGGACGGACCAACAAAGGTTCGGAGAACCTAGCGAGGATAAGCAAAGGTTTGTTCCCGCGTCGTGAAGGCCCCCCGAGGGCAATTTTAGAGGCCATTAGGGCTCGTGAAGAAGCCGCCTGCGCGGACGTGGCGGCCATGCTCAGGAGTCCGCAATCGGAAAACCCAGGATCCGACCTGGCTGGCCAGGCTGCTGGGCCTTCGGGGGCTCAGACGGGAGCGGGGTTATTGGACCGCGCGGCTCCCTCCAGGCCTGGCCAGGCCCAGGAACCCCAGCCCGTGCGGGCTGGGGATGGAAGCGATTCCAGTGATTAAATCGCCCCCAGGACAGCGTCCGCTATCAAAGAGTCAAAGAGTCCTCCTCCTCCTCCTCCTCCTCCTCCTCCTCCTCCTCCTCCTCCTCCTCCCCCTCCTTCTCTTTCTCCTCCTCCTCCTCGTTTCCCTCAGGTTCTCGACGGGGAATCGACGTATATCCTATGGAGAAAAGATGCCTCGCTCGTGATCTGGGGTTCCGTCCGGCAGCGTCTCGGCTGTACACATGTGGAGGCCGATGCTGGACCCGAGACGGGCCTGGCCAGGATCGGCGAGGCGGCCGGCTGGCGATTCGCCCGATCGTCGGCCACCAGGTCCGCGGCTTCCCCGGCGCTCCTGTGCCGGAGGCCTCGCAGGAGAGAAAGTCTCGGGCGGGTGGTAATGGTCCAGGCTTCCTAGATGGGGTCGGGGTCGGTGGGGTCGGTGGATCGCTCCGCATCGCCGATGCGTCGGCGATGCGGCTCGATGTGGAGCCCGACTTTCTCCACACCGACGTCGCCAACGCATCGCCGACGTCGCCGATGCATCGTCGATGCATCGTCGATCTATCGGTGATGCACCGGCGATTCGGCGCGATCCTCCGAACCCATCTAGTCGGACCCCATCTACTCGGACCCCATCTACCCGGACCCCATCCCCTACATATTCAAAACAGACTCCAAAAATGTTCGAATATGCCCCCGTCCCCCGTCTATTTCATCACTATTATTGAATATTCCTCCTGTAGAGGGACAGGCCCGATGAAGTCTAGGACGCCTCTAAACGGGTGGGGGGGCCTGAATGGGGGGTGAAGAAAACGGCCCCAACGGGGCCCTTTAGGACCCCTTCTGGATCCACCAGGGGCCCCCAAAGCGGCCCTTCACGGGGCCCCCTTAGGGCCTTTGCTCCACCCTTCTTTAGTCGAGCAGGGGATCGATTACAAATTTGATTTACCCCGAGATTGATTTCCTCGTCGAGTGTTCAAACAACTACGTGTAATGTTCGTAGAACCACGAGCATGATGCGCGCCTTTCGTGGACTCGACGAACAAATCCGTTTCGGGGTCAATCCACTCCGTGGCCGATCCCCTACTCGATTTAGGTCGCCCCCCCCTTGCCACCCGCCCTTGCCAACGCCATCACTTGAACACGAGCCTTCGGAGGTTCGCGCGGAGTTCCTCGGTCGGCGCTTGGCCCTCCATGGCGGCGCCTCTGACGCGGCCCATCGCGCGCTGCGCGCACCGTGAAGGGGGGGGGGGCAGCGCCGATCCCGGACATGCGCCGAATGGAGTTTCCATTCCACGGCCCCATCGCCGGCCGCGCGCAGAGGGTGGCAGTGTGGGAGGGGGGAAGGCTAGCTTGGAGGGAGGCTGCTTCTTAGAAGGCGCGGGCCTTGTCTGTGGATCTGGGGCCGGCGCCTTCTTAAGAAGCGGCCTCTTTTTCAGAGAAGCCTTCCCCCCCCTCCCCCTACCCCCTTGCGCGCGCCGCCAACATTCCGTGGCCCCAGAGGTCCCGACCGCTTCCCTGCAGGGGTAGTGTTTTGCTCCGATGCCTTTCTTGATGGCCCCGGGGCCCAATCAGAGGCCCCGTAGGCCGGCATCGAGGAAAACAGTTTGGACTGACAACGTTCATATCGTCGGATGTTTGTGTACCCGGAGCGTTCCGCGCGCCAGGGAGGGGGGCCAGCGCCGACCCAAGAAATCCGCGCCGACCTCCGCAAGTCTACGCTCATGCCGTTTTCGGCAGCAGGGCATCCAGTATGCATCTACATCGATCTTGGTCTTGATTTCTGTTCGTAACGTGGACCTCCAGAGGTCAGGTCCCCTTCCTGGGGAACGGCTTGTCACCCTGAGCTGTGTATTGACAGCCCCGAGGCCCTGTGAGGCCCCCCTGGAAGCCGACATTAGCGAAAAACCTCCCACCATAGGGGGTGGCTTGATGATGATGATGCTGATGATGATGATGATGATGATGATGATGATGATGATGATGATGATGATGATGATGATGTGGAGGAGGAGGAGGAGGAGGAGGAGGTGGAGGAGGAGGAGGAGGAGATGATTTCTGAGCGACGCGAGGGTGTCCGAGGTTTCTCCGAGCGGCCGCGCAGCAGCAGGCGGGCAGCGTGGCGACTCCTCGGCACGCCCACAGGCGGCCACGGGCGGCAGTGGGAGGCAGCGCGGCGAGTCCTCGACATGCCCGTCCCCTTCCCTATAGTAACGCTGCCGCGACGCGAGGGTGCCTGGCTTCCCTGAGATCCGACGTAGCGACATACCCGGAACCCCGACGTAATGTTCTTGCATCACGTCGACCCCCAGAGGTCCCGACCCTTTCCCCATGGCTGGCTTCGCATACTGAATCGCTTTTTGACGCTCCCGGGTGAAGGCCCCCGAAGGCCGAAAATTAAGAAAACCTTCCGTCATGATTTTTTCATTATTCGAGGGGGTCTGGGTACATGGAGCATCGCGAAAGACCGCGAACGGAGCTCTGGACCCCATATTTCTGCGCCACTGCTCGAGCCGCGCCGATACCCCTGAGGCCCGAAGCCGGGCGGACACGCCCGGCCCGAACAGACCTATAAATTCAGGAGGGAAAAAACACACCCACACACACAGACGCATTGAATCGTCGATTCCCCAGAAGGTGTGGGAAAACATGGGAAGTGGGGGGGGGGTAAGACAAGGACCCAGAAAACGTTTGGGAAAAGTATTTGGGGACTCCTGTTATTCATTAACTGTGCGTAACTGTGCGTATCTCTTTGTGTGTCCCGGGGCCCCTTCACTACCAGACGCCAGGATGTCCAGGGCGTCCTTGGGGTCACCACTCGGACCTCCGGCGCCCCCGATGGAGCGCTCCTCGGCGAGGCGCAGCGTGCTGCAGAAGGGGCCTCCCGAGGCCGGCGAGCCGCCGAGGCCCGGCGAGGCCGCCCGCAGGTCTGCAGAGCCTCGAGCCGGCGCGCCCTGCAGTCGGGCCTCTCCCTCCACAGGAGGAGTATTCAAAGACAGGCCAGCAATACTCGTCTGAGGGCGATGTTTGCTGCATGTTTGTTCCAAGATCTGTTATGTTTTTTGTTTTTACTGTTTCTCAGCTTGCGTCCAAAATCCGCCCACGTGGGGGGAATGCCCGACCTACGTAAGTGTACCCCCACCAGGCTCTACCACGCCACTTGCACCACGTAGCTTGCGCATGCCCAGTGCAGTAACTTTCTGTTCGAGGCCCACGCTGGCTGACCCCTGCTCCGACGTAGCAGCAAAAATTGAACATTGGGGAGAATCACGACCAGAGACTGTGACGCCATCTTTCGGCGCCATCCTCCGACCCACATCGATCTGTGATGGTCCGAGGGCCTGCAAACCGGGCGAAAACGCCCGGCTCGAAAGCTATGAGGCCGAGTGCTCGCTCGGTTTTGAGGGAAACCCAGACGCACCGACACCGCTGCTCCCCGGACCTCCCCCCGGGTGCGCGCTCTGACCAGACTTTCGAGGCGAATCCAGCGGAGCGGTGGCGACAACGGCCTCCCAGGAGGCACACAGAAGGGGGAAACGGGCGAAGGGTAGTGGTATGTTTTTTTGTTTAGACCCCGGCAAGTCTACTTGCATGGACGGATGCGGGGGCTGAACTTGATTGCAAGCCGCAAACGACCTGCACGTGCGGAAACCGCGCAAGTCGAACGGCCTTTCCACGCGAGCAGTCGCGTGGAGAGGAGTGATGCGGAGTGAGGGGGGAGGGGTGGGGTGGGGTGGGGGGGGTGGGGGGGGCGAACGCCGTGCAAAGTCCACTTGCCCGATTTTTCCGTTAAAGCGAATATCTATACATATGTGTATACATATACGTACATACGTGTTTATACACATAAGTATCTGTACATATATATATATATATATATATATATATATATATATATAGGTGCGTCTGTACATTATATAACATATATATATATATATATATATATACCGGGGAACGACACCTGGGGCCGCCAGATTGGTGCCTCGGACCCCCATGGGGGCCACGGGGCTCACTTTCCTTGTGTTTTTACAGGGGTTCGGCGTTCCAGGGCCTCCGAGGGAGGCCGCCAGGAGTGGACCTGCGCCCCCTGGGGGCTCCGGGGCTAACTTTCCATGTGCTTTTACACGGTTTCCGCGTCCTGGGCCTCGGAGGCCGCCGCCTCCGACCCCCGTGGGAGGACGGGGCGGCCGGGGAAGTCCAAAATACTCTAGGAGGGCCTCCAGAGGGTCCCAAGACGGCCCAAGCGGGCCCCGAGTCGCCGAAAGATCGCTCCAGGACGCCCAAGATAGGCCCAAGACGGCCCGAGAGGCCCCCCAAGGCACTCCACGACGCTTCAAGACGCCTCTCCAGAGCGCTTCAAGAGACCGAAATCGTCAATTTTACGAAGGGTTTCGAACGATTTTGGCCTTCCAGCCTTTTCGGCCGTCCGACGTCCAAGACGGCTCAATAGGCCCCCAAGAGCGCCCCAAGACGGCCCAAGAGGGCCCCAAGACGGCCCCAGAGTCGCCCAAGACAGCCCAACAGAGCCCCAAGACGGCCCCAAGATGCGCCCAAGAGCGGGACCGGGGGACCACGACTCCAAAATTCGACCCTCCCGCTTGAAGAGTGCCCCAGGAGGCCCCAAGGAGCCCCCAAGAGGCCCCAGGAGGCCCCCAAGAGGCACCCAGGAGGCCCAAACGAGGCCTAAAGAGGCCACAAAACAGCCCCGAGGAGGCCCCACAACGGTCCCAAAACGGCTTCCGAGAAGCTGTGAAACTGCCTTCACGACGTCCCCGACAGGCCAACCACGAGATCTAAACCAACACCCATGAGGCCTCTGACCCACCACCCAGGGCACGGTGGCGGGAGCAGTGACAGCACTTGTGCACAGCATGTTCCGGCGGGAGCCTTCCGGAACACGCTGCAGGAGGAGGAGGAGGAGATCAGGAGGAGAGAGAGTGGAGTGGGAGGAGGAGGAGGAGGAGGAGGAGGAGGAGGAGGAGGAGGAGGAGGAGGAGGAGGAGGACGGAGGAGGAGACGAGGAGGAGGAAGAGGCCTCCAAGACAGCTCCAAGATAGCCGAAGAGGCTTCAAGAGGGCCCTGGGCGGCCCACGAGGGCCCCAAGGCGGTGCCTGAGGCGCCCAAGACGTTCCGAGAGGGCCCTAAGACGGCCCCAAGAGAGGCCCATGAAGGGAAACACGAACTGAGAATCCGAGCTTCCTACCCCGAGAGGTTCTCGGGAAGTCCCAAGAGGCCCCCAATCGGATCCAAGAGGCCCCCAAGAAGCTCCCAAGAGGGCCGACGAGGTTGCAAGAGATCTCCCAAGGTGGCCCCAAGAGGCACAACTCATTGTTTTACGATTGGGCTTTGACGGGTTTTAATTTTCGTCGGCCTTTTGGCATCCCGATGCTCCAAGACGGCTCAAGAGGCTTCCAATACCGATCCAATATAGAGGAAGAGGCCTCCAAGAGGGCCCCAAGACGGCCCGCGAGGGCCCCAAGACGGTGCTTGAGGCGCCCAAGACGGCCCGAGAGGGCCCCAAGAGCCCCAAGAGAGGCCCAAGAAGGGGAACGCGACCCAGCAGCAGAGCGTTCTCCCCAAAAGGCCCACAGGAGGCCGCAAGAGGCCCCCAAGTGGTCCGACGAGGACCCCAAAAGCTTCCCGAGGGCCCAAAAGGCCCCTAGGAGACGTCCAAGAGGTTTAAAAATAGCCCAAGAGAGCCCTCGATGCGTCAAAACTGCTTCCAGGAGGCCCCCGGGAGGCTTCCGGATTGCCTCAATGTGGCCGCAGGTGGCCTCAAGTCGGGCCTCCACGCAGCCAAGACGGCCAATGACGGCTTCAGATTGCAGAGCCGATGCCCCAAAAGGACCCTCAGACGCCCCCCCCAAGAGGCACCCAAGAGGTGCCTCCAACAGCCAGTTGACGAAGCATGCGGCACACCAGAAGCTCCTCAGATGCCGTCGCGCGCCTGTGCTTGATAGCGTTGTCCAAGATCGTCCAGCGCCCCCCCAGCCTGGGCTAGAACCTGAGCGCGCGCGAAGCGCGCGCGATGGTTCTAGTGTGTATATATTTATATATAAATATGTATGTATGTGTATAAAAATATGGCATATCAAGAAACGGCTCTTTGCTCCGAGAGGCCGCGCGGCTGCACTGGGTGCGCGCCGTGCCGGCCCTGGCCGGGCGCTTCGAGCCCCGGCGCGTGCGCCTGGTGCTCGGCGGCGGGGCCTGCGCGGGGCCCTGCCGCGCGCGGGGGCGCTGCGCGGCGTCGCCGCGCGCCCTCGTCGACACCGTGGCGGGGCTGGACCGCCGCCGCCGTCCTCGTCGCCGGCGTCCTCGCCGCCGCCGTCGTCGCCGCCGTCGCCGCCGCCGTCGCCGTCGCCGCCGCCGCCGTCGCCGTCGTCGCTTTTGTTGTCGTCGTCGTCGCCGCCGCCGGCGTCGTCGCCGTCGTCGCTGTCGTCTTCGCCGTCGTCGTCGTCTTCGCCGTCGTCGTCGTCGTCGTCGTCTTCGTCGTCGTCGTCGTAAGTCGTCGTCGCCGGCGTTATCGCCGTCGTCGTCGTCGTCGCCGACGCCGCCGTCGCCGTCGCCGCGCCTGACCGCAGGAGGTAATCGAGCAGTGGCGAGGCGTCCTGGCCTGCCCATCGGCCCAACAAAGATTGCTCGAAGATCTAAGAAAATTGATGTGGTTTCCACCACCTGTTCTTAGAACAAGGCTGGGTGAGGGAGTCCCGTTCTATGATATCACTGTTTTTGTCAACGAGGTCTGTCTTTGTTCTTACAGCATGAGTTTGTTTTATGTTCTAATACCATGTCGTGGTGAGTTTACACGAATGCTTGGACGGTTGGTCCTTGCCCAAGGAAGAGGTACCAACCCAGATGTGCTCTCTTCGGTGGAAAATGCGACTGCCACGCGACGGCAAATTCTGCCTCGCGACGGCAGCCGCACCCAGTACCAGGAGATCGGTGGCACCCTCTATTACGTCTCCATGCCAGCTGCTGATGGGCATTAGGTTGCTCCAATCATGTCTTAGTTAGCTATGTGTGGCTTGGCTTGAAAGGAGACACATGTTGGCAGCAATCTCTGCCTCATGGCGGCGTTCTCGCCTTCTACACGAAGATCGTTGGCATCCAGCTACATCGCCATGCCTGTTGCTGGGTACGTGGGTCAAGCGCTGGCAAACTCCTCAACTGCTTCACCGAGGCCGTAGCGGAGGTGAGTTACCCCGCACAGAGTAGAGGGTCGAGACTTCGGGGACTCCGTTTTGAAATAATCGGGCCATCTCATGTCTGGAGAGGTACCGATAACGCTACCATTCTTTCGTTTTCGTCTTTTTGAACCTTCCCTTCGTCGCCACGGCTGGATTCGCCTGCAATCTTCATCAGACTGCACCCGAGGAGAGGTCGGGGGTGAAGCAGTAGGGGTATCCCCAGATCTCCGACGACATGTTTTCCCTATCCAGGAGCTTTCTATGATTGTCGGCCATTTTGGCAAGTTATCGGGCATTGGGGCAATCAACGACGGATCTTGGACCAGTTGGCCCCATGGAAGTGGTCTGGACCTCTGGGGCCGCGCATTGAACCACAATCCTTCGGGGGTTTGCCAGAGGCGCCCCTTTGCCCAAGGCGCCCCCGGGCTTCTCCTTCAATGCTGGAGCCCCATGGGGCCCTCTGGACCTCGTGATGGGGGTGCTCTGGAGGCCGCCGGGGCCTCCTTGGATATCCTGGGGGCACCTTGGGCCAGGGGCACCTCTGGCAGCACCCCCATCACATCGGCGGATGCCTGGGCCGCTGCCCCTCGGGCGGGGCCCGGGCGAGGGTGCATCCGTTCGAGAGCATCCGAGCGTTCCGGCACGCTCGAGCGTCCGTTCGTTCCGCAACGCTCCGAGAAGGACGCGGCGCCCGCTGCATCCCCCAGAGCCGCCGTCTCTCAGAGATTCTCGATGTGCCCCCATCCAGGAGGAGGAGGAGGAGGAGGAGGAGGAGGAGGAGGAGGAGGAGGAGGGAGGACAAGGAGGAGGAGGAGGAGAAGAAGGAGTGGAAGAGAAGGAGGAGGAGGAGAGGAGGGAGGAGGCGGAGGAGGAGGAGGAGGAGGGCATTTTTAGCGTCGCCCTGGCTTCGTCTGAACCCCTGCCCCCTTTGTTGCGCCTCTCGTGGGGTGCCCGATTGGCGCTGCGGCCGGGCACCGCCTCGGAGTGCTGGCCACAGCGCGCGCCGCGTGGCGGCCCAGAAGGGCAGCCCCAGGCATGCGCTGCTCGCTTTGGGGGGGCCTGCCTGGGGCCCACCTTCAGCCACGCGCAGGGGGGGAGGAGGAGGAGGAGGAGGAGGAGGAGGAGGAGGAGGAGGAGGAGGAGGAGGAGGAGGAGGAGGAGGACGAGGAGGTGGAGGAGGAGGAGGAGGAGGAGGAGGAGGAGGAGTGAGGAGGAGGGTGGAGGAGGAGGAGGAGGAGGAGGAGGGGGGAGGAGAGGGGAGGAGGAGGAGGGGGAGTGGGGAGGGCTTCTTAGAAGCATCCCTGCTTCCTAGAAGGCGCGGGCCTGTTCTATAGATGCAAGACCGGCGCCTTCTGAGAGGCAGTCTCTCTCTAGGAAGGCCTCCCCCCTCTCTCCACCCCCCTCGACGGCCCTTCCGACAACGGCCGCACATTGTCCGTCTTTATTTTTTCAAGACGCGAGGGATGGTTATCAGTGGATGCCAGGTCAGTCATTCAGTCATGCCTTACGCCGCACCGCGTGAGCGAGACAAACTGACAGAATGCGCACTCGCTGCAACCGCGCCGCTTTGCGTTTGCTTTAGGGTGCTGGGTTGCGGCGGCGGTGCGGGCGAGCTAGGATCGGGTTGCATGTACAGCGGCTATCTTGGGGGAGACGTAGAGGGAGAGGGGGGGAGGAGCAGGAGGGCCAGAAGGGGAGCATGCAACCCGATTGACAAGGTCGCGCCAAGCAGCTGGATCGCCAACGCAGGCCATCATGTGGTTCGGGGTGTCCTCGTCCTCCTCGTCCTCCTCCTCTTCTTCCTCCCCCTCCCCCTGCTCCTCCTCCTCATCCTCCTCCAACTCCTCCTCCTCCTCCTCCTCCAACTCCTCCTCCTCCTTGTTTTTGCGCAGGCTGCGAGGGCCCCAGACTCCTCCTCCTCCTCCTAGTCCTCGAGTGTTTCAAGAGTTGAGTTGCGTAGGGCTGCTCGATGGATTTTGACAGTACGTGCTGGCAGAAGTCAGTGAAACCTGCGCTGGGGCGACGTGCAGAGCGTCCAAGGCGCACACACGCAAATGTGAAGGCCATCCTATATTATTCGTTCTGCCTTTTGAAGCCTTGCTGAGTTCTTGCTTGTTACGAGTGCTTGGGACGTCTTGCGTTTCGCGCTGGGCCAACGGCCGCGTGCTTGAAGGTTCGCGCGTATTTGCAGAACTCGCCCCAAGCTGCCCCGAATCCCCTGCCTAGTTCTCCACATAGCCGTCTTGAGCTAGAAAGCATTAGGAGCTTGTGAGCCACGTGTAAGAATATGATTGGGCGATTGTTGTCGCAATTGTTGAAGCATGTGTTTTAAACGTCGCTGAAATCACTTATTGGTTCAAATCTGTTTGTACGGCTTCTTCGTCCCAGCATTTGTTACGCAAGTCCGTAATCCATTGGAACCCACCCCGATATCTGTAGACATGGGTATCGAGCAATGTGCCAGCATGCCATAGTCATCCATGCCAGATGTTTTACCACGCTCGAGTGTATCCATTATTTTGTGTACCTCTGGTGTTGTGAATTTTGAGTCGAATATTGGTAGTAGGTCATGTTCGGCATATCTTAGCGCTAGAGTGTATCACCACTGCCCCAAGTGGCTTAAAGGGGGGAACTGGATATCGCTGCTAAGTGGGCGGTTCCCACTTCATTTGGATCGGTGACCTCCTCAGGCCACCTGGGGCATTTAATCAGTACCCAGCCACTCAAACGCTATGCTTGGCCAGCTACGCCGCACCCCTCCAATTGCGGGTAAGAGTGGGGGGGAGGCGGCGGGGGCGTCGGCAGTCTGCGAGGCTTTGACGAGGCCTGGCGCAGGCGCCGATATTTCTACTTCTCAACGTTACACAGCGAGCGCGCCGCAGGCGCCGAGTTTTGGTCAAAGCAATGTGGGTGGGTCGCGGGTGGGTCGCGGGTGGTTACGTTGCATCTTGGTCGGACCTCGCTTGTCCCCCAAATTGGTGCCTTTTCTTGTGCCCGACGCGGGCTCGATGCGGACTCGACGCGGATTTTTCTGTGGATTCGACGTGGATTCGACATTGGTTTGACACGAATCCGACGAGTCCGACATGGATTCGACACGGGTTCGACGCGGATAGGGCCGCGACGGGACAGACAAGGTCCCCCGAGGATGCAACATAAGGGTGGGATGCCGCTGGTGGGTCGTGGGTGCGTCGCGGGCGAGGACGGTGTCAACAATTCACACGAATCATTGAAGACTGTTCGCTTTTGGTTGCCCACGTGTCATTCAACATTCAAATCTTAAAGCCTCGATACCCGCCCTCTTCGCCTTCGACCGTACCCCACTTGGGGTCATGTCTTCCTCACCTGCCACGTGTAGTTGGAGCAGCCGTCAGAGCAGGGGCAGGATGGAGCACGCGAGAGATGTTCAAGAGGAGGGTTTGGGAGCAGGAACACAAGCAGTACAGGCGGCCCGGACTAGTAGGTCGACGCTGCCAAATCAAGGGTACCCCTTGTGTCCTGTGTCTCACGACCCACGCTTCCTACATTCCTGTCGAAATGTGGCCCTCGGAAGGGTCTTGTGTCCTCTCGCGTGTCCTGTCCAATCGAGTCCGACTGTAATCAGGCGGGCGGGTCGGGCGGGCTGACCCTAACGGGCGGGGCGGCCGGGTGAGCCCAGACGGCTGGGTCGAGTGGGCGGGTCGTTGAGGGGTTAGTCTTGCATGGATCGCGGGGAAGTCTCGAGCGACAGCGCGATTTCCAAGTAGATCGTGAGGAAGTCCAGAGCGAGAGCATGATCTCTGAGAATCGAGGGCGCGGCTTTCCAATATATTGCAAGGAAGTACCGCGCGAGAGCGCGATTCCTGGATGAATTGTGAGGACGTCCCGCGGGAGAGCGCGATGTTGTATAAACTGTGGAACAGTATTTGGTGGGCACTGTTGTTGTGACTGTTCGGGAACCAATGTCGCCATACTGAGACCTAAGACTCCCCCTTGTTATACAAAAAGATGGTGCGAGCCCTGGGTGGGACACCTTCCTTGAAAACGCAAGGGGCACCGAACGTGGGGGGTTAACAATATTCCTTAGAATTGATAGTTCACAGTTCGCTCCCATCGGATCGCGCGTCAATCAGCATGGATATCCCCAACCCTCGATACCCGCCCTCTTCGTCTTCGAGCGTACCCCCTTAGGGGGGTATGTTTTCCGTGCCCGCCTTTAAACAGGAAGGGGGAGAGGGGAAAGAGGGAGAGAGCGAGGAGGAACGGCATGGCGCAAGGGAGGGAGGGGGGAAGTGGCAATGGGGAGGGGGGAGAATGGAGGGCGAGAGATACTACAGTGCCGTTTTTAATATATGCTCCGCGTGCGGATCATGTACTAAAGATGCAGGGATTTAGCATTAAAAACAACGATGCGTTCATGCATCAATCTATTCCTAACTGAATCATGTATTAAAAATCTCATGTATTAAAAACTGCCCTGTAGCAAGAAGGGGGGAAAAGAGAGAGGAGCAGGAAAACAAGAAACGGACCCAGGCGGGCCGGTTGGGCGGGCGGGGCGGGCGGACCCTCACAGGCGGGTCGGGCGGGCGGGGCATCCTGGCAGCAGAATGAGTGGCGACTGCGGGCCACCGCGCGCAGGTCGGGCGGGCGGGCCCCGACGGGCGGGTCAGGCGGGTAGGCCACAGAATTCTCCAGTACGCATCGGAAGGAGAACTGTGTCGAGGTCGCGATTCCTGAGGAACCTGCGAGGAAGTCCCGGCCGAGAGCGCTATTCTAGGGTAAATTGGAAGGCATTCCTGAGCGATAGCACGATTTATTAATGAGTCGCAAAGGACCGTCCTGAGCAAATGGTCAGGGAGTCCTTGGCGAGAGCGTGATTCCTGAGTATCGAGGGCACGGTGCCTGAATACACTGGGAGCAAGGCGCACGCGAGAGCGCGATTCCTGGGCACATCGTAGGAGAGTCTCGAGTGGGAACGCGATTCGATAAATTGTCAGGAGGTATCAAGCGGGAGCCGTTCTTGCTGAAATTTAACGAATATTTTTTGTTGATCCCCCCTCCGGTAAACATTGCTTTTAAAGTTAAAATGCTCCACCGGGGCTCGCACCCTGTTCTCGACACTGGAAAGCGAAGTGTCAGCGATCTGTGTCCCTCGCCCCTGGTTTAACAACAGCAACAGCTCCCGCCTGATACTTCTTCAACAGGTATTCCCAAATCGCGCTCTCACGCGGGATTTTCTCACAATGTATATAGGAATCGCGTTCTCGCTTGGATTTATTTCGCAATTGTTTCAAACGCCGCGCCCTCGACACTCAGGAGTCACGCGCTCGCTGTGGATTTCCTCCTGCTTGATTTGGGAATCGCGCTATCGCTCGAGACATCCTCGCGACTCATGCAGGACGCACGCTTCAGCAACAGCTCCCGCCCCTTGTCCCTTCCTTCCATCCGTCATCTCTTCCCTTGCCTGAGGGGCTACACGAAATACAAAGTGCAAGTCGTAAACATATACCCATATACCCCTAAGGGGGTACGATCGAAGACGAAGAGGGCGGGCACCGAGGGTTTGGGATGTACGCGTGATTCGCACGCGCGGAGATAAGAGCGAAAAGTTTTAAACATGTTGTTGTTGTTGTTGCTGTTGCCGTTGCCGCAGATGTTGTTGTTCTATGTCGGCGGCGAACAATTCAGTTGTGAGAACCAAGACCTTCCCTGTTGCAAAAAAGAGCACGTGCCCCGGGAGGGGCACTACAACGATAATACAGAATGGCCACCGAAGGGGGGGATCAACTCTTTGCTTCATTTGCAATGAGATTTCGACAACAGCATTCAAAACAAACAGAGTTGGGGCCACGGAGCCCCACTTGACCCACGCACCCAGGGATGTCGTGAGACCCCTCGGCCACCTCACTCTGACAACTCACCTTGCCATCCATGGATAGCCCTCGTCTCCTCCTTAGCAGCCCCCGCGACAGTCCCAGCAGGACCGCGAGGTCGAGGCGGTCTTCCGCGGCTGCCTCGCGGCCGGAGGGGCCAGCGAGACGCTCGGGTATTGGCTCGTCACCCGCGGCCTCCTCGTGACACCCCTGAACAGGAGCTCGGAGAAGAAAGAGGATCCAAGACCCCCTCGCGTCGTGGCACAAGCACGACAGGACGGCCTTTTTGCCATGCGTTGGTTCCTGGGGGACGCTGCCGGGCCTGGGGGCCGTGTGAAACCCGTTCAGGATGAAGTGTTGGGCACTCGGAAATGGTCTAGACCTCGGGGAGTGCTTGTCATGAAACGTCATGACGTCGGGGCGTGCGGATCATCGCGCGTCTCGCACCGCGGGGGCGCGATGTGCGAATGTCTGGCAGGCTCACGTGTCGACGCGGCGGTGACCCCGCCGCGGGCGTTCAAGCTTGACCGGTGACAGCGGCCCTGAAGCGGCCACTGTGAAAAGATGGGGTGATCAAAGAGCCGCTGGTTTGTAAGGCTGAACGTTCCACGCGGCGTCGGCGACCCAAAGCCCGGGTCGCCGCGACAGGAGCCTGCTGCAGGTGACCCAGACAGGCGGCACGTGGCGCGCGGGGCGTCGTGGGCTGCTGCTGGTGGCTTCCGACGCTCGCCGGCCTGATCTTTTGCTGCGGTCCGAGGCTGCAGAGAGCTTGCGACCGCTTCCCTGGATGCAGCCTCCCGTCCTGGGCCTGTGTCCAATTGGCCCCTGGGGCCCGATGGCGAGGCCCCGAGATCCGAGATCGAGGAAAAAAAGCAACCGGACTGAACCTACTCCTCCTCCTCCTCGTCCTCCTCCTCCTCCTCCTCCTCCTCCTCTGCCTCCACCTTCCTCTCCTACCTCCTGCTCCTCCTCCTCCCCTCACTCCTCCTCCTCCTCCTCCCCCTCCCCTCCTCCGCCTTCCTCCTCCTCCTCCTCCTCAGACCTCCTCCTCCTCCACCTCCCCCCCACCATAATCACTCCCCCCCCCCTCCTCCTCCACCTCCTTTCCTCCTCCTCCTCCTCCTCCTCCTCCTCCTCCTCCTCCTCCTCCTCCTCCTCCCCTCCTCCTCCTCCTCTCCTCCTCCTCCTCCTCCTCCTCCTCCTCCCTCCTCCTCCTCCTCCTCCTCCTCCTCCTCCACCTTCCGTGCGCTCCCCCTCCTCCGCCTCCCCCTCCCTCCTCCACCTCCTCCTTCCTCCTCCTCCTCCTCCTCCTCCTCCTCCTCCTCCTCCCCTCGCTCCTCCTCTCCTCTCCTCCTCCTCCTCCTCCTCCTCGCTCCTCCTACCTCCTCCTCCTCCTCCCTCCTCCTCCTCCTCCTCCTCCTCCTCCTCCTCCTCTCCTCCCTCCTCCTCCTCCCTCCCTCCTACCCCCACCCCTATCCTCCCCCCCCCACCCCCCCCCCTCCTCCTCTACCTCCTGCCTCCCTCCTCCTCCTCCTCCTCCTCTCCTCCCTGCCTCCTCCTTCCTCCTCCTCCTCCTCCTCCTCCTCCTCCTCCTCCTCTTCCTCTTACCTCTCCTCCTCCTCCTCCTCCGCCTCCTCCTCCTCACCGCCCCCTCCTCACTCCATCCCATCCCTCCTCCTCCTCCTCCTCCCTCCTCCTTCCTCCCCCTCCGCCCACCCCTTCCTTCCTCTCCTCCTCCTCTCTCCTCCTCCTCCAATTTCTCGTCCCTCCACCTCCTCCTCCTCCTCCTCCTCCTCCGCCTTCTCCTCCTCCTCCTCCTCCTCCTCCTCCTCGTCCTCCTCCTCCTCCTCGCACCGTCGGATATTTAGGTCCTTCTTCCTTCGAGGGCCTCGGGCGCGAGGGCGCGAGGCGGATCGCGCGCCTCGCTGCGCCGGGCGCGCTGCGCGGAGGTGGTCCACCTAGGCGGCCCTGCCTCCGTGGGCCTCTTCGTCTCCACGACCTCCTCCCCTCGATGCTATCACCTCTTGCACGACGTATTGTGCAAACGCGTAGTGCTCTTGTGAGGTCTCTTCTTCTTCATCGTAGTACTTGTTATTCGCTTATATCGTTACTGTTCGTACTCGTATCTTTGTTCGTGTTGTTATTCCATGGTGGGCAACTTTAAGGCTATTCCTATTATGGATATGATATGTGTTATTACTAGTACCAGTCATATTTTCAATAGCTATGTTATGGTGAGTATTATTACACGTTCTTCCTATCCTCTTAAGTCGGGCGGGCCCCAGGCCATCTCTCCTCCGAGGACCTCTGGCGACGCGGCCGGGCTGCTCCCCTCGTGGCAGCTTAGCGAGGGCCTCCGCGTTGCGCTGGGCGCCCCAGACGATGGCGAGCCCGCGCTGGTGGTACGGGCGGTGCCGCGCCGGCGCTTCGAGGCGTCCTCGTCCTCGTCCTCGTCCTCGTCCTTGTCCTCGTGGCCGCCGCTGTCGTCGTCGTCGTCGCCGTCGCCGTCGCCGTCGTCTTCGTCCCGCAGTGCGGTGGAGGAGGGGAGCGGCGGGGAGCCCGCAGTGGTGCGGGGCGGTGCGGGGCGGTGCCAGGGCGGCGCCGCGCGGTGTCCTCCTCCGGCCCTGGGAGGGTGGCAGAGACCACCTCGCGTCGTGCACCAGGCTTCTCTGGCCTCCTCCTCCTCCTCCTCCTCCTCCTCCTTCTCCTCCTCCTCTTCCTCCTCCTCTCCTCGTTCCTCATCCTCGCTCCTCCTCCTCCACCTCCTCCTCCTCCTCCTGCTCCTCCTCCTACTCCTTCCTCCTCCTCCTCCTCCTCCTCCTCCTGCTCCATCCTCCTCCCCCCCATCCTCCTCCTCCTCCTTCTCCTCCCCCTCCTTCTTTTTCTTGTCCTCCTCGTCCTCCTCATCGCCCTCCTCCTCCTCTTTCCCCTCTTCCTCGTCCTCCTCCCGTTTTCTCCTCATTAGCGGGCGAAGATCGAAATGCAGAAACTCTTCCGTCACCGAGGGCGCCTGCCCCAGGGCGGCTGGAAAGTTGATCACCTGACGTGCCACCGCAGGGGGGTACCGTTCACCCGCACAGTAGGAATGGGCAGCCTTCCCAAGGCTACCCCCCTTGCATGCTTGCCTCCTCGGTCCATCCTCGGCCGCCTTCGTTGGCCGCGCCCCGCTCGAAAGGCTTCGAAATGGCCTTCCAGGGCCCTTGCATCCTTACCGCGCAGCCTTATGATACGGGCCGCCTGTGTAAACTTTCCAGCCGCCTTGGGACGGGCAACCCCGACGGTCGAGAAGCTGATCCAAGAGGCTTGCCCCATTCCGCTGACCCCGAGCAGAGGTCAGAAGTTCACAGGTGTGGTGGCTGTGAGGTTTTCTGGGGCAGTTTAGGGGACAGCTTTTTGTTGGTGGTCTCCGGGGCTTCCTTGGGGCGGAGTGCTGGAAATGCCAGCGTCAGTAACCCTCTTTGGCCTTTCTTGCGGCTTTCTCGGGGATCTCTTTGGGCCGTCTGGGAGCAGCTTTGGACGCTTTTTGAGCAGTATTGCTCGCTGTTTAGACTACAGCAGCGAGTATGCTGAACGTACACGGCTTCAGAAGGGGAATTGACGATGTTTGCTTCTTGGGGCCCTCTTGGGGGTCCTCTTGGAGCCCTCTTGGGGCGTCTCGGATGCTTCTTGGGCTCTCCTCGGCGTCTTCGAACGCAGCGTGAATCAACGTAGATGGCATCTTGGGAACCCACGGATGCCACGGAGTGTAGAAGTCGAGGCTGCGGAGGCCCCGGGAGCGCGTTGACGAGCTCGAAGCCCCCCCCCCCCTTAAACTGGATTTTGGGCCCCGGGGGAGGGGGAGGGGGAGAGGGGGACAGCCAGATGTCTCACACGCCTCTCCACCCCCGACAGAGGGTGGTGGGCGGATTTTGTACCGCTCGTCGCCCGTGAATGTTCACCGATGGGGGCTTTCCATCGGGCCCATTGGAAGCCCTACGAGACCGATGTTGCATCAGAGCAGCAATTCGGCCCCTGACTTTCGTCCTGGGTTCGATTTAGTGAAGTGATGAATTTCGGGGTCCTTACGTGGGAAAAAACATCACTTCAATAATCTGGGGCCCCTGGGGCCTCAGTGGGCCCTGGGGCCCAAAAATAGTGAAGTGATGGTTTTCGGGCCTCGAGCTGACATCCTCTAGGGGCCGTCAGAGCCTCCGCCCCGCGAGGTCGATTTGAGTTGCGGAGTGCCCGTCCTCCCACGGGGCCACGGCGCAGCAACCAAGCGCAGCAGGGGCGAGATCGGCATGCCGGCAGGTGCCCCGCGGAAGTGTCTCCTCCCCCCATGGCCCCAATGGGCCCGCAGAAGCTCCGGGGCGCCGATGGGCCTTCAGATATTGACGAATAGTGATCGAAGAAGGAAGGGGTACCCCAGATTTCGTAATGAAAGGGAGGGGGTCTCAACCCTCCCAGACGAGAAGTTTTAGACCCCCCCAGACCATCCATGAAAGGGCGGCCCTTTGCCCAGACCCCCTCCAAGACAACTCAAATCAGACCCCCCCCAAATGTGACCCCCCCCAGTTTATTTTGGAATCCGGAGTACCCATACACCTCTGACCCCCTCGCCCGTTGTACCCTTTTTGGGGCCTTCTGGGAGGCCCTCGTCGCCACCGCTGGTTTCGCCTTCAAATCCTGGTCGGAACGCACCCCGGGAGAGGCCCGGTGGGCAGCGGTATCGGTACCCGTGTGCCCCAAACTCATCTTACCGCAGGGTTCCTTATCTGATGTGTCTACTGTCTACTGTAGGAGGTTCGAGTTCCGAGGATCGAGGTTCGCTTCCTGGAGCGGGGGCCCTCGTGGCCGCGGCTGGATCCGCCCCGCAGTTCTAGCCAGAACGCACAGAACAGTTCCAGGGATTGATGTTTGACCCCTGATCCGGGGCCCCGTTCGGGGCGCTGTGGGGTTCGAGGTGCTTGGGCGTGTTTGTCGGATCCTGGCGGTTCTCCTCCTCCTCCTGTGCCGTGGGTGCCCGCTTGCTCTCGAACATCTGCTGGATGCCCGAGCTGGGGCCTGAAAGCCATCGGGGGTCGGGGGTAGGCTCGGGGGGGACGCATCGAGCCCCCGTCGCCCAATGATCGC